TGGCTGGTTCTGGGGGGGGCGGTGGGGGGGGAGGCGGCGCAACGACAGGGGGCCGCACAGGGGTCGGCAGCAAGGGCGGCAGAGACCCTGCAAAGCCCTGCTGCTGCAGCGGTTGCTGAGGCTGGGAGTAATGCGGGGGCGCCATAGGAAGGAGGGGAGGAGGAGGAGGCGTGGTTGGGGGTGCTGGGGGCGGCTTCGGGAAACCGATTAGATGCCCGGGGGCAGGCCCCATTAGAGAAGGCTTCTTGCTTGCTGCTTGCGCCGCTGCAGCGGCAGGCAGCAGCCGCCCCCGGCCTGGGCTGGGGAGGATCCCTCCTGCACATCCTGATGCTGCTGCTGCTGCAGGGGGCTGCGGCGTCAGCGTCCCCAGCAAAGCAGGCAGAGCAGCTCGGCCCTTGCTGTTGCTGCTCAGCTGATGTGGCGGTGGTGGTGGCGGCGGCTGCTGCTGCTGATGGTTCAGAGCACCGTAGTGGTGCAGCAGAGGACTGGGTGGCAGCGGCAGTAGGGGCGGGAGGCTTGAAGGGTTTGACGGGGGTGCCCTCGGGACAGCTGCCGCCTTCCCTTGCGGTTGTTGCTTTGCTTCTTCCCCCTGCTGCTGACGTTCCCCTCCCTCCTCCTGTTGCAGGGGAATCTCTTTTGGCGCTGCAGACGTCTGCTCTGTCGCCAACTTCTTGAGGGGAGGCGGCCCCTCCTCTGGAGTTGAGCAGCTGGGGGTCTTTGCAACAGTTGGAGAGTCGACCAGCGCTGCTGCTGCTGCTTCTGCAGCCGCCGCCGCTGCTGCTGCTGCTTCCGCTTCTGCAGCAGCAGCTGCTGCTTCGTCCGTCTGCCCTTCCTGCTCCCCCTCTGGGTGCTGCTCGTGGGGCGGCTGCCATCCGGGGCCGCCTTCGTGGGTCTCGCAGTCTGCAGCGCGTGTGCTGAAAATCTGGTCAAGGCTTTGTGCGTCACTGAGGAGTTCTGAGGTGAGAGATAGGGGCAACATTCTCCGCTGCTTTTAGTTCATGGAGGACAGCACGCGCAGGAGGTCAAGCAGCAGCAGCAGCAACGCCAGCAGCGGCTAAACCCTCCTCCTGTGGTGTAACTCAACCTCCCACAGCAAAATCTTAGCATGCACAGCGGTAACTCCAGGCAGAATATACTGTATAGAACATACACTCTGCCAAAGCAGAGGGAACAAACCGAGGAGAGCCTCCAGCAACCAACTAGAAACCAAGACCAAAGCACTCCTTGAGAGGGCCCCTTCACAGGGATCCACGCTACTACGTCAGCGACAGCAACTTCTATTTAGAGCAGGGTATTCTAGTCGTCTGCCTCTCGGTTTTCTCTGATGCTGTTTCCTCTTGATGAAAGCTATCCCAAGAGGACTGCAGGGTAGACAACAGGTGCGGAGGAGCGCAACAGAGACACACGCCAGGAGCGACAGCAAAAAAGGGAACAAAAAGCAGGACTAAAGAGAACTGATCGAGCACAACAGGAGCGTCCCTACACCCCGGAAGCTGCAACACGCTGCGGAGGAAAAGGAGCGCACAAGGGTGATGCGGCTTGCAAGGAGAGGAACAGGTAACGGAGAGTTCAGAGGACAGAATTGAGCAAACAAATCATGAGAGTAATTTTTTTCGCCTTGTACGCAATCCCATTTCCTTCAAACACCGTGTTTCACGCTTCTGTTGCACGTTGGCTTGGGGCTTTCAACGTACTGAAACCCTGCCCCACATTGCATGCAAAGCGAAACTAGAGGAATATGATGGCAAAAAGCAGCGCTACCGTTTGAGAGAGGAATCATGTTCAAATGAGTTGCAAGGGAACGAAAAATTAGGGAATTGCTTCGAGGCTTCCTTACATTCGGTCACCGGAAGGGCCCCTTAGCGGAGTGGGAGTAAGTGGGGTACCGTTTGGGTAATTCCGCAGAAGTTTCTTCTTCATTTGTTTCCATTGTGGAAAATGATTAAACTGAAAAGGAAGAAGGGCGAGAAATTCCCTGCGGAGGCGCCTTCAGGTGTGCCTTCACCCGCAAGCGGTGGGTCGGCGAAGCGGCATCGCGCGCCATCGGAGGCCGTCTCCCGCGATCTTCCGTTTAAAAAGAAGGCAAAAGCTTCTTCTGCTTCTTCTCTGGCTTCCCAGAGCAAGGAATCCCCCGCGGCCTCCTCCAGCGCCGCACCCGACAAAATTGATTTGGTCGGCGGTTCTGTTGACTGTGGTGGACTGAGACGGGCCATTTGCGCCCTCTGCCGCCACGTGCAGAAGCAACAAAAAAACGAAGACTTTCAAGACCTCCTTGGCGGCAGCGGAGGCCCCACAGTCTGCCTGATGTTCTCTTTGCAGAACATTCCTGCGGGCCAACGCATATACCCACACCTCATGTAAGAGCTTCTTCATGTCGCCTCGTTGCGATGGGTCTACAGCCTTCCCTTACCCCTGCATGCATTTACTTCTATTGTGCCGCTTCAGCGTGCCGCTCCTGATTTTGCCAAAAGCCTATGCCCTAGTTATCGCTGCAGCCAGAACCGAATAAGTTTGCCTGCCTGCATGTATGCAGAGCAGTGCCCCACGTCAGCAAGAGCACTCTCTGTTGTTTCCGTTGCGTTTCTTTTCAGCGAATTGCCGTTTAGCCCTCAGGATGCTTCAGGGGAGGTGTGTTTAATTGTCCGCGACCCGCAGCGCAAGTGGAAGGACCTAGTGGCAGCAGCACAGCCTTCGTTGTCTTTTGTTTCAAGAGTTATTTCTTACAGAAAGCTGCAAAAGAAGTTTCCGCAGTTTGCAGACAAAAGGAACCTCTGCAGCTCCTTCGACCTCTTCATGGTCGATACCACTGTCAAGGAAAAAGTTTACAATACACTCGGCAAAGCCTTCTTCAGTACAAACAAGTATGCTCAACGCACCACATTTTTCCTGATTCTGCTGGTGCTCATGTTGCAGCTGCGTCGGATTCTGCCACTGTTTCTAATGTTGCTGCTGCTTCAGATGATGCTGCTGCTGACACTGCTCCTCGCCGTGTTGCTTCTGATGCTGCTTGTTCTGTTGGTGTTTCTGCTGCCCTGGGCGTTGGCTGCTGTATCTGCTTTCGTTCCTAAGCATTACCTTTATTGCCATGTACATTTGCCGGATTTTTGCCTCCCAATTTGCTTTTTCTGTTTTTGTACGTTCATCTCTTCGTGCATTTGTGTATGTTATCACTCTTTTCCCGTTGTGGCTGCTGTAGGGAAAATTTGCGTGTAGCAGCAACAGCAATAGTTGTGTGCATGTTTACGCTTGCTTGCACGTTTCAGAATCGAAGGCTTGCCATCGTTTCTGGTGGTTTTGTTTTGGGGTGTATGTACAGCTGCAGTGAGTTTGAATATGTGTTTTCTCTATGTGTTCTGTGTTGCGTCTGAAGACTGCCGCTGCCCATTCGAATGGGGCCTTCTACTTTGGAAAGAGAAGTGCTGAAGGCTCACAAAAGCACCCCGCTTGTGATTAAAAGGGGCCCTTCCCTAGCTATCCGTATCGGCAGGGCATTGGGGGCACCAGAGCAGCTGTGTGCCAACGCAGAAGCGGCAATTCGAGGTGTTTCAGAGTTTTTTCAGCAAAATCACAAGTGGAAGAACACTATTACGACAATACATGTGCAAGCCACTAACACACCCGCACTGCCTGTGTACGTTCACCCCAAGTACGCCCAGGCGGCGGAGTACTACGCAAAGAACAAGCCCCCCTCCGCAGATCCAAGCACAGGAGAGGAGGAAGCGGAAAAAAACAAACACGCAACACAAGATAACGCAAAGTACATGCACCAAGTCGCAGACACACGCAAAATCAAAAGGGGAAAGGAACCTGATACGCCACACAAGCACAAAGGAGGTGATAAATCGGCGAAGCACACCGGTGCACCTGCAAAGGAGAAAAAGGCAAAGCACGGCGCAAACAGCAAATGAGGATCAAACCGATGCAAAACTTACACCCACTGTGGTGGACACTCCCAACTCTCCATGTTAATTATTTCTCATTGAAGTCTTGTTTAATCCTCGACTTTGCTGAATTGAGCAAAGGAGGGCTGCGTCGCGGATTAGATAGTCAATACTCGGATCAACATGAATAGGCAGTTGTTGACTGTTGCATTTGCTGGGATGTCCAGTGTAAACCAGTGCAGTGCGGGCACAACAGCAGTTATGAGATGATATATTCCTGTTGTGTGGGGTCTCTTCAACGTTGCAGGATAGGGGCGTTGGTGACTCGTTCTGTTGTTGTTTGAACCATCATAGTTCAAAATAGCTCAACATTTGTGAGCAGCGTTTATAAACGCACGTGGAACAGTTACCTAATTCAAAATAGCCTATGTTTCATTCACAAGCGTTTAGAAAAGGCAGCCGCGGCCGTTCGACCGGAAAGACGTTGCGAGGAAGGTGCGAATTGCACGAAACCTTGGTGACAAACAATGTTCCGCATTCCTTAGTTTAAACAATTTGTAAAATGTAAATTTATTCGAAATATAACGAAGGCCAACCATTAGAACAACCGTGCAGCCCACCATTTGTCAGCGGTTGTCGGTTTCCACTGGTCGGTCGGCAAGCGACCAGCGCAACACGATCCGCACAGTAGAAAGAGAGACAAGCTGCCACTTAATGGGTTGTAACCCACAATACTTCTTCATAATATTAGCTTGATTGTGTGTAGGCTTTGAAGTTTCTCTTCAATTTCATGCTTTGTTTCGTTTGTTGACCTCACGACGCGTGTGCTGCTCTTTGTACACCCCTTGTCTCTCCCTTCCATTGTCAACCCGTCGACTGCAAGATGCGGGACTCAAAGGGAGCACAGCAGATAGTGAATGCTGCAGGAAAGCCCCCTTCAAGGCCTCCCCACAAGCGTAAGCCACGAGCCCCACTAGAGTGGCCGCCAGACGGGTTTTCGGTCGCAAGACACCGCTGAATCTGAAACCATTACAAACGTACCTTTGAAGGGAATACAAATTCGTTTCTGAAGCTGCATACACGGCACAATCATCGTAACTCTCGGTAGGTGAATTCATTGCTGGATGCGCCTATGCTTGCAGTGCTGGACGGCATTTCCTTCTTGGAATTGAGCAAAGACCTGTCAGCAGAAGAGGAAAACCTCCGCCTCCATGTTCGCAATGTCTGCGAAACTCTGGTGGCCCCAATAGCCGCTCAGGTGTGGGCGGGCGGCTCCTTTGACTGCCGCTTCGTGCAGGCTTGCAAAGCTATCGGGCCAGCAGGGCTGCAAATAAAAGAATTCGGTAAGTAGCAGCAAAGGGAAGCAACGAACAACAACAGGAGTAGCAGTAACACTCATTGGGGGGCTAGTGTGCAGCTGTGAATACGGTGCCCATCGCACTGTTTTTGTATACGCAACCCACTTTCCGCTGCTATTATTGCTGTTGCTGCTGGTTCTGCTGCCACTATTGTTGAAGGTTGTGCAGGGCTGAGCAATGTGGAGGCTTTGTTGGTGGTGATGGAGATTGCTCGAATCGACGCCTCTCTTGCCACGTTTGCACTTGTGCATTCGGGGCTGGCGATGCGTTCAATTGCTGTAGCAGGCACCAAAGAACAACAGCAAAAGTGGCTTCCCAAGGCAAGCAGCTGTGTTGCCTTTCTTACTTCTTCCAGTTTCTTCTTCCCTTTGCCACATATTCCTTTCCTCTTTTCTATGCAAATCTGCATGTATGGTTACGCCCCACGCAGGCAGTCCAACAACAAGAGCAGATGGCAGCAACGCAGCGAAGCAGAAGAAGGCGAATCTCCTCTTGGCCTGCTCCCTATGCATGCTTGCATGAACCCCATGCATGCGTGAACCATCGCCTGAATGGAGCTCATCTAATAAGTGTAAATGTGTGCCTTCTATATGTTGTATGAATGTGTTTTGCATGGCTGCAGATGGCCCGCTGGGAAAAGATCGGTTGTTTTGCGCTAACAGAGGCTTTTAACGGCAGTGACGCGGGAGGCTTGACGACCCGAGCAAAGAGCGTTGAAGGAGGATTTGTTTTGAATGGAAATAAAAGATGGATTGGAAATGCAACGCGATGCGATCTTGCGGTTGTCTGGGCAAGAGATGAAGACACCCGAAGAGTGGAAGGTTTTCTTGTCGTAATTGTTCATGCATAACACCGCTAACGTAATACGATATATAAATATATATATATATATATATATTAT